GACCTTGTAGGAATAGCTTGGATGAATAGGAAAACTGTCGTTAAACCGAATAAAATAGTTCAATAGCATCTTGAGAAACAAGTGACTAAATAATCTTTTGTGTTCTTGATCGCCTATGAGTTCAGATATGTTTGTTAATACATTAGCATCAAGTAAATGAAATGATGTATCAGCAAATTTGGAAAGAAGAATTGTTTTTAATTTTTTGTAGCATGTTGAAGATCATGCTAAATTTGCAAAAGAGTTTAAGGAGAGGTCGCATCAGAAAAAGGAATTATTTTATTATACCTTTGTACATGATAACGTAATAAATATTGATTATTTTTAATGGATAAAGATTCAAGTATTGTTCGACATCATACTTCACTATATTGAATTTTAGCAGTATGCCCTAATTTTTGTAATTTTTACTCATCATCTCTACGTAATGTTACTTCTGAGATTTAATTTTGTATGTTTTATTTTATTATTAGTTAACTATTCAATATGTACAATTATCGAATAAGTAGTAATACATATGTATATGAGTGAATTGCGCTGAGATTGTATGGTTTGAAAAAAAATCGAAGAAAATAAAAGTGAACACAGAAAAGATTTGACCTGTTTATTCGATAGAGTTTTATTTATAGTATATGAGTCAACTATTTTCCTGACTGTCAAATTTTCCCTTTAGGAGCAAAATTGAAATCTCGAAGTATATGAAAGGTCCTAGATTTCGTAACAGCAAAAAATTTCTGACTGAAAATATTTGACATTGTTATCATATATGAGACGAATCGTTTTCAAAAAGAGAATACAATAGACGTATACATAACTTTATTCACATGTATTCATGCGTTTGCGATAGTATAATATGATTGTTATCATTAAAACGCATATTTTTTTCGAGAAACACGCTGTATAACTAAGTGCTTTTTAACACTGTTTCGTGATAAAATGGAGAAGCAGAATCTTTATCAATATCGATGTTTATTTCGAGAAAAGAAACAAGGTTTACTATAAAGAAATACCAAGTTAATCATTGTTCGTGTTTCATATATAAAACTGTTCATTCAGATCACTAAATGTTTTGACTATTAATTCAAAATCTAAAAGCTTGTGTGTATCAAAGTTTCTGTTTCATCTGACTTACTTTTTGTAAATATTTGTCCATTTGGTTTAATAATAATTTCATGAAACTTTGACGTTCCTTTAATTGATTTTAATGATGAAATTTATACTCTCAATGAATCAATATCTTCTTTTTTTGTACAAGTGCAGCCGAATATTTGTGGAGTTCTATGTTTTATCCATAAAATCCTCAGCACCTTTAAATAATTCATCTGGATTTAATCGAGCTGCATTATCAAATAATCGCTTACTAGTAGCACCGATGGCATCACCAATACCTTTTCCGTGACCACTAGCCAAAAACAATCATCTCGTTGTAATTTTTCTATTAGTAGGATAATATTTTAAAAAGAAAATTGTGGTTTTGCTTCGATATTGATTTGATGGAGAGTCAGATATGGTATTCAATTCAATAATGTGTTTATGATCTTTTCCACTCAATAACTCATCCAATAAATCATGAATAGCCACCCATGTGCTTTCTGACAGATGACTTGTATTATCAGATAAACATCCAAAACTAAAACAGTTGTCTTTTCGCCAAACATATCCTGCCGCTATAGAGACATGTTGTTCAGAGTAGTATGCAGCTAAATAGAAAAAAATTCAATTAATTCTGAAGAGTATTGATTAAGTTTTCATCGTAACTTACAACGTTCTTCTCTTGCTTGTTTTAAATTATAATTCTCTGACCAATCTATAAGCAAGGTGATTACATTATCACTTGTGAGTGCTGATTGTCGAATTAATTTAGCACCTTTAAATTGAGCATAAACTAATTCCATATGCTTTTGAAGTTTCTAAACATTAAATAGATAACAACAAGAGATTGTTGCCTCTGCTCGGCTTCTCTTTAGAGATACTTACAGATATTTCATCACTAAATTTTGAACAACATACATCCAGTTTATCTGTCATAGTTGTTTTCGTCGAAATAAGACCAATATCTCTAGCACTTTTCTACTGAACCCATTCCACATAAGTAACCAAAAAAGATTCTGCTTTTAATAAATTCAGTTCTTTCAATATCTCTTCGACTTTCTCTTCATCATTAGCTACTGTTGTTAAGTCGTTTGCCATTAACGATGACAAAAAATTCAAAATAGGATGATTATTTTTCAGTTGGTGAATTCTTTCAGAGGGAAACAAGTCAAGCCCTCCTCCTCGTGGTGTTTCCTGGATAACGCTAACGGGCCTCTGCAAAACTCTCATGATGAACACAACATATGGAAATCGTACCTCTCCCGAAAGTGGGATACCTGGGCCTGTCCCTGGAGCCAGGCTTGGGGACAGAGCTATGCGAGCGTCTGGTGGTCGATCGAGTACTGGGACCCGTAGATCGACCGGGTCAAACCCGAAAAAGTTACGGAAACCAACAACCAAACATCATCAAGAAGCTAGCGATGGTCTCGCCAACCATTCTAGCACACATGAGGGGACGGCGCGATGCCTTAAGGACACGTTCAGTACAAACAAACATCGAAAACGACAACAACAACATCAACACAAGATCAACATTGGTACATGGAATGTTACATCACTAACTGGTAAGGAAATGGAAGTGGTTGAAGAAGCGCAAAAATACCATTTAGATATACTTGGCATTTCATCAACAAAAAGAAAAAGCAAAGGATCGTTAACTTTAAACAATGGGTGTCAACTATATTATTCTGGCGTCGACACAACAACTTATGCTCAAGCTTGGGTTGCAATACTTGTAAATCCACGACTAGCAGAATCAATCGTCGAATGGAAACCAATCAACGAAATACTAGCTCTCATACGACTTCAACTAAAACGAACTACTCTAACGATCATCCAAATATATGCACCAAATAATGAGGCAGACTATTCAATATTCCTCGATATGGTCTTTACAACCATCGAAAGCGTATCGGTGACAGACTCTAAATTACTTATTGGTGATTTCAACGCACATGTGGGAAATGACTCACAAGCATGGAATGGTGTTATTGAACCAAATGGCGATAAAGATATCAGTAATCAAGGTAGGCAATTATTAGATTTCTGCGCAAATAGCGGATTATCAATAATGAACACATTCTTCCAACACAAAAATATTCACAAATACCCATGATACAAAACTGGTGGTCCAATAACTCAGAGATCTCTGATTGATTTCGCCATCACATCGGATAATATCAAACGAAAAGTGATGGATGTACGAGTCAAACGAGGGGCTGAGCTATCGACTGACCACCATCTGGTTGTCTGCGTCTTACAGCTCTCACCGAATGCGCTCAAACAACGAACACAACCAAAGAAAGTGTTCAGAATAAAATGGGAAGCACTAGGTGACACACCAATCAGACAAAAATTCGCAAACAAGGTGGAGCAAGGATATTCTCAATTACCAATCAACGAAGGGGATAGTGAATCGGAATGGCTCCTGTTCCGAACAGCTGTAATTGGTGCAGCAGCTGACACATGTGGCCTGAAACGACTTGGATTAGTGAATGGACAAAAACGAACGGCATGGTGGACAGAAGAAATTCGCAAGATTATAAACAAGAAGAAAACAGCGTACAGAACGTGGGTGCAACAGCCAACATTACACAACTGGCACAAGTACAAGCAAATCAGAGATAACGTGAAGAAAACGGTGGGTGAAGCAAAAGCAAAATCTTGGGAAAACCTTGGATATCAAATGGAATCAAATTATCATTCAGCGACAAAGGTATTTTGGCAAACAATTCGACGATTACGGAAAGGTGGATTAAAACAAACGCGATCGGTGAAAAATGTAAATGGTGAACTCTTAACACGCGAAGAAGATGTCCTCCATCGCTGGAAAGAATATTTTGCAGAATTATACAATCCGTCCAATAACTATGACAACAATATAAATTACCAAATATCGGGTGATTCAAATGACATTACAATGAGTGAAGTCTCATCTGCAATTAAATCACTAAAATCTGGTAAAGCGGCTGGAATCGATGAAGTTTAGTTTAGTTTATTATACCCTTACCTTTCAGTATTGAGTGAAGATCAAAAATGTACAATTATTGGAGAAAATGTAGGGACAATTACAAAAACAAAAAGATTAGAAAAAAAAGAGAGGAAAATAAGGAGAGTTAGTGTTGTAATGCATTCAATAGAATGCGAAATTGTTCGTTCGGTGAGTTGTCCATTCGTTCGTCGGAGGTCTTAATGTTGAGAATATATCATCAGGATACTATCTCCAAGCTATGGCAGACTTGGTTTCGATGGTATCTATCATTTTAATCCCAACATTAAGCCTCCGTTTTCTCGACGTTCCATTGTATACNAGATGACTGATTTCTGTTTTATCGTATCTAATCGTCTCATTGGTTAATTCAGTTTTATCTTGTTCGGTCTGTTCGGGGCCTGAAACAAATAAAATGAATTAAGACTGAATTAATGAATAAATCGTCCAATAAAAAGATGATTTAAGTCGGAAGAGACCAATCGTGTTGCCTACTTCGTTTCTTTTTCTTTTCAGTCTGTTTGAGGTCAAAGTGGTGAGATGCAAAAAATGAACAAATATGTATATATAACTCTGTCTTAGTCAAAAGTATTACAGTCATAATAAAATATGAACCGATCAAATGTTCATCTTCTAGATTTGCCTGATGAAATATTACTTATGATTTTGAAGAAGTTGAACAATGTTGATGTACTATATTCGTTATTGGATATTAATAATGAACGAATTAACGCTCTTATACAAGAAAACGCTTTCACCAACATTTTGAAGTTTGTCTCCATTCATAATTATTCTTTAATCGATCGATTCTACTACGATATATTACCAAGAATTCATCGTAATGTGAAATGTTTTATTCTTCATTCAACTCTTATAAAATGTATTCTACGTGCGACCGACTATCCGAATCTAACTGAACTTAAAATTTTTGATTTCGACGAATATATCGCTTTAAAACATTTTACAAGTAAGCATTTAATATGAATTTGATTAGTTGAGAAATAATAAAAGTGTTAGATAGAATAGACTACAAGTTTTCTTTCTTTTCTCCTTTAGATGAATCATCACATCGATCTGTTTTCCAAGAACAAATTACAAACCTTAGTCTTATCAATAAAGAGAAAGACATAACAATACCTTCATTAAGAAATTATACTACAAACGTATATAGTCATATCTTGACCTTCTTCAAAAATTTAAAAGAATTAAGTATCATGGGACCGTCTTCTATATCCATGTATCCAGGTTTATCACTTTGTGGTTTGCCATCGACTACTTTTTCATCTCCGATTCTTACTCATTTATATATCAATGTGAAAACTTTTGATGACTGTCTTTATTTACTTGATGGCCGACTTAGAAAATTGACAACATTGTGTGTTACCGTCTATTCTATAGACGAGTATTCAAGAATTGTTCACAATATGGTAAGTTTCTACAAATAAGTTTATGACATAAAGATTATTAGTATTTTAATTCAGTTAACGATTGATCTCAAAGAATTCAAATTAGAGATCGAATGGTTAAGTTTCATGTTGACAAGGGAAAAACTGATAAGTGTTGATGAACATCAAAATCATCGACATTAAATTTGTATTCATTAGGCAGTTGAATTTAATAAAAGAATCAGTAAAATTTGTTGATAGAAATTATAATTATATAATATTTTATCGGATAATTTTCTCATTGAAAACTAGACTGGTTTGTTTCATGATTGATATAAATATTATTATATGTCAATGATCATCAGTATAGAATGGAATGAAAGTTTCTACAATAACAATTTTTCCAATAATTGAGATATGATTGGAAGTTTGTCTGAAACTTTAATTATTCTTTGAACACATTTATTATGCTGTAAAATGAGAAAATCAAACTGATAGATTTGTCATTTGTGGTCATTAATGGATAGAATATAGATCATACACCATGTGTAAAATAACAATGCGTATGACTTACAGATGATAAAAAAAGCATTTCTTTCTTTTTGTAGGATAAATTATTTAATCTAAAATGTTTCTCATTAAAATCGTTCTTTCGATTTGAACAATATGATAAAATTATATCACTTCTTCATCGTATGTCATATCTGGAAAAATTAACTTTATATCTTCCTATAAAAGGTCGAAATAGAGTCATTGATGGTACTAACGTTCAACATGATATTTTGGATTATATGCCACAACTTCATTCATTTACTTTCTATATTTGTACTTATGTGGAAACGGTTGATTTATCCTACAAGTTATCTAGTGAAGATATTCAACAAACATTAACAAATATTGGACAACAACAAGTTACGAGTATAGTCAATTATATTCAAGATGGGACAGCTGTATGCTCGATTTTCTCACTTCCTTTTGAATTTGATCATCTCAAAAATCTGGGCAATAAATTTCCAAATATTGTATTCAGTTGCGTTGCGTTTTTACTTGTAGAAGATATTAATCCATTCAAACATGAATTCTTCATTCGAATTGCCCGATCGTTTCCATTACTTAAATGCTTACGTATTTTTAATAGAGAATCACAAGGTTTAGATGGTCTTATGACATTTTCATCTGACAATTGTCAATTACACTCAATTATTGAATACCCCCATCTGACTATACTTGATGTCGCATATGCACATAGAGATTATGTTGAACAATTTCTTAATGAAACAAAGACATATATACCTTGTCTGGCGGAATTTCAAGTCTCTGTTGATGATTTAAAAGCTGTAACAAAAGATTTTACAAGAGAAGAAACACGACGCAATTGTGCTATGGTGAAACGAATATTTAGGTTAGGATCATTTGTAGATCCGAAAGATTTGTTTCTTTATTTTCCTTCGTTGTATAAGTAGATGTATTCTCGTTTTGATTTATTCAATAAACTGAAAAACATGATAACTGCCGTATTTATAGTCTAATGATATTTCTGAAATATAAAGAAACTGGAGACCCCTGTGAAAAGATTGGATTTGAATCTTACAGAAAAAATTGATTTAATACACATAAGAAAAAAGTTCTCAAAGAACTAAATATAATTTATAAAATATATTATAGATTTATTGATTATTAAATTAATTAATAATAGTGTAAACGACTTCAGATTGAGATAGTTGGTCCTCGCTTACCCTTCCGTCAAACTTTTCAAAAATTAATATTTTGATACGACATCCAACTACAGAAGAAATAAGTTTTCAAAGAAAACTTGTAAAATATAATATAAATGTGTTGTCACTATATATGTAGAATAAGAAAAAGAATAAAACAAAATATGACTGAAACGACTCAGATATGTAAAGATAATAAAAATGGATTGACAGAAATGATGTTCACAAATATTGAACAGACAGATAATAATATAGGACAATATACAGATATGCTCATATGGGTGTATATAGGTATAACTTTTTTCCGTTCTGTGACCAATCATATGAAAGTTCCCGAAGAAGAAGAAGAAGAAGAAGAAGAACTGAAAAAAGCTTGTACAATATAATATAGATATCAGCTATTAATGATCGTTTCTGATTTTATAAAAAAAAATCATACAAAACTATATGATGGTACAGAGTTATATGTACAATGAAAATGCCCCTTCGCAATTGTTGGAAGGTACACGAAAAGATTTGATTTCATTTTAAATGTAAAAATAGTCCTTACTTTTTCAATCTAACTCAAATTAAAGAATAAATCATAGATGTAAAAGTCGTAAAATCGATTCAACTATTCCGACTTTTCGACTATTCGAATATTCGAAAAGAAATATTTTTTTCACTTTTATCATTTATAGTCTTTTATAAATGAGAGTGCGTGGAGTACCATATGTTTTTCATTGTTAACTCATTCGGACAATGTTAATCACATTCTATATGAGAATAAATTAATAAAATATTTCTTGTGATACGAATATAAGTGATATGTACTCTCTGAAATCAGACCATACCAAAATATTACATTTAAATATTTGTTGTGACTATGAAATTCTCTGATGTTAAACATATCTGATAAAGTTGCTTATGTAATATATGAATAATTTCGAATAGTTTTAATTTTTCTTCTTTTTTTCAGCATTATATGGAAGTCTATCCATGTTTAAAATATCTCGTCTATGTTTTAAAACAGTATTTACTACAACTTAATCTCAATGAAGTATGGACCGGCGGTATTAGTAGTTATTCACTTATTCTTATGTTAGTCTGTTTCCTTCAAGTAAAACAAAAAGAAATTCATAAGAATATTGTTTTTTTTTTTTAAATAAATATTTTATTTATTTAAAATAGACTTATAATAAAAAAGATCAACAATCATTTAGGTCATCATCATTTTATCCATTATCTTTATCTAGTTTATCTTCATCTTCAACAACAAAAACTACATCATCATCATTTATAAAAACTAATAGTACGACAGGTACAACAGATGATTGTTCATCATCAACGTCTTATCCATCATCATCTGCTGGTTCATGTATATCATCTGATGATAATAATAGTTTTAGTAATAATAATAGTGATATTAATGATGATCATTTTAATAACGGTATTAACAATAATAATAATAATAATAATAATACAAGAAATAATACAATTGAACATGCAAATCTTGGACATATGCTTATTAATTTTCGTGAATTATATGGTGTTTATTTTGATTATGCTAAATTAGGCATTCGTGTTCAAACATCATAACAACCTGATCGTCCATCTGCTTTTATTGATAAAGAAGAATTATTTAAAAATTTTTGTTGTGGACATCGTACAATAAATAATTTATGTATTGTTGATCCATTTAATGATAGTACGTAGAAAAAAAAAATAACAATAAGATTTCAAAGAAACAAAAGATACAATTAATCTGTCTCTTTTTTTTTCTTATAAAAAATAGAAAATGATATTAGTAAAGCTTCATGGTTAACACCAAAATTAAATTCAGCATTTCGTGAAGCATATGATAAATTATTGCAAAGTGTATCAGATCAAAATACAACATTAAAAAATGCACCATCGTATGTTACAAATACAACAAAACATAATTTCTTTTTTTTATGTTAAATAAAATTTTTATTTTTGTTTTAGTATATTATCAAAAATTATTACTATTAGTGAAAGTACATTAGTATATCGAAGACGATTACGTACGATTTATCGTGATTATCAAAATGAACAACGAACAGTTAAACAAATACAATCTGGTCGATCAAAGTATATATTATAAAGACAAAACAAAAACTAAGGATTCATCCATAAAGGATATCGAACTCTAGGAAAGAGAGAGAGAAGAGTTCACGAAAATTGAAAAGTCAGTCGACAAAACTGAGCAGAGAGTGACACACACAGTGGACAGTCAGGCGATACAAAATAGTTATTCAAGATTTAAACTCTTATCATAGCTGGCATTTGGAGCTGCTATTGTCCTGCATTCCGGATAATAATTAAAAGCAGGTATCTGCTAAATTACAGGTATCAGAAGGTATGTAAAATAGGATCACATAAGTAAAATGTATGTTTTTAGTTGAGAATCTACTTATATTCATCAGTTATTTATATAATTAAAGAGTGCTATATATTTACTGTGGGAAACAAGTCAAGCTCACCTCCCCGTGGTGTTTCCCGGGTAATGCTAACGAGCCTCTGCAAAACCTCTCATGATGAATACAATATATGGAAATCGTACCTCGCCCGGAAGTGGGATACCGGGGCATGTCCCTGGAGCCAGGCCTGGGGACAGAGCTCATATGCGAGCGTCTGGTGGTCGATCGATCATTGGGTCCTGTAGATCGACCGGGTTCAACCCGAAAAAGTTACGGGAACCAACAAAACATCAACCAATAACACAACACCAACAAATGGCTAGCGATAGTCCCGCCAACTGTCCTAGAATACATGGGGGGAAGGCGCGATGTTCAAAAAGCACGTTCAGTACGATTCAACAACAGAAACAACAACATCAACACAAAATAAATATTGTTACATGGAATGTTACATCACTCACTGGTAAAGAAATGGAACTAGCTGAAGAAGCACAAAAATACAAACTAGATATACTTGGCATCTCATCAACAAAAAGAAAAGGTAAAGGATCATTAATATTAAACAATGGATGGCAATTATATTATTCTGGCGTCGACTCAACAATTTATGCTCAAGCGGGAGTTGCAATACTCATACATCCTCGTTTAATCGACTCAATTCTAGAATGGAAACCAATCAACGAAAGGGTAGCTCTTTTAAGACTTCAACTAAAGAAGACTACCATAACGGTTATTCAAATATATGCACCAAACAACGAAGCAGACTATCCAGAATTCCTCGATATCGTTGCTACAACTATGGAAAACGTACCGGTATCAGATTCTATATTACTCATTGGTGATTTCAACGCACACGTAGGAAATGATTCACAAACATGGAATGGTATAATTGGACCAAATGGTGACAAAGATCTGAACAATCAAGGTCGACTGTTATTGGATTTTTGTGCAATTAGTGGTTTATCAATAATGAATACTTTCTTCAAACACAAAGATATCCATAAATATACATGGTACAAAACAGGTGGTCAAACTACTCAGCGATCTTTGATCGACTTCATCATAACATCGGATAATATCAAACGAACAGTAATGGACGTACGGGTCAAACGTGGTGCTGAGTTGTCAACTGATCATCATCTGGTTATCTGTGTTCTACAACTAGCGTCAAACGCTCCTAAACAAACCGCTAAACCAAAGAAATTGTTCAGAATAAAATGGGAAGCACTAACTGATGCAGAAATCAGTCAAAAATTCGCCAAAATGGTGGGTCAAGGTTACTCACAATTACCATTAAATGAAGGGGATATGGAATCAGAATGGCTCTTATTTCGCAAGACGATAATAGATGCAGCAGCTGAAACATGTGGTCTTAAACGTATTGGCTTGGTGAATGGACAAAAGAAAACAGCATGGTGGACAGAAGAAATTCGCAAGATTATTAACAAGAAGAAAACAGCATATCGTAATTGGTTACAACAACAAACATCGGAAAATTGGCACAACTACAAACAAATCAGAGACAATGCAAAGAAAATGGTGAGGGAAGCAAAAGCAAAGTCCTGGGAAAACTTCGGACATCAAATGGAATCAAATTACCACACGGCGACAAAGGTGTTCTGGCAAACTATTCGACGACTACATAAAGGTGGATTGAAACAAACACGGTCGGTGAAGGATGCAAATGGCGAACTTATAACAAAAGAGGAAAACATTCTCAAACGTTGGAAAGAATACTTTGCAGAATTATACAATCCTTCCAGTGGACATAACAATAATGTAAATGAAAAAGTATCTGGTGGGTCAAATGACATTACTATGGCTGAAGTCGCATCCGCAATTAAATCGTTAAAATCTGGTAAAGCGGCCGGAATAGATGAAATTCGACCAGAAATGCTCAAGACACTTAATGATGATGGAATACGTTGGCTTACTCGAATATGTGGTATAGTCTGGAGAACTGGCAAGGCCCCAACTGATTGGCAAACTGGTATTGTCATTCCGATTTTCAAAAAAGGTGATCAAAGGGAATGTTCTAACTATAGGGGAATCACTCTATTGAGCCTTCCTGGTAAAGTCTTCGCTAGAGTACTCGAACGAAGATGTCGACAAATCGTCGAACCTCAACTTCAAGAAAATCAGTGCGGTTTCCGTGCTGGAAGAAGCACAATTGATCAAATTTTTACATTACAACAAATAATTGAAAAATCATGGGAATTTGCCAAACCAGTCTATTCACTATTCATAGATTTGGGAAAAGCCTACGACCGAATACCACGTGATCTGCTTTGGAACGTATTAAAAGAATATGGAATTCAAGACCATTTATTATCAGCAATCCAATCATTATACAAAAACTGCCAAAGCTGCGTCCGAATAAATGGAAGCAAATCAGACTATTTTCAAGTACAAGTTGGCCTACGGCAAGGATGCGTATTATCTCCGTTATTATTCATCGTATTTATGGACAAAATATCTAGAACAAGCACCAATCCAACTTGTATGGAAATTGGTAATACCAAGGTAGATTCACTATTATTTGCTGACGACATAGCTCGCTTAGCGACATCAGAGGATAGTTTACAAATGGCCCTCAATCAATTTGACAAGGTATGCTCGGACTTCGGAATGAAAATTAGCGAAAAGAAAACTGAATTAATGGCGATTTCAAGAGAAGACAAACAATTAAATCTCTACTTGAATAACAATTCATTGAATCAGGTGAACAAGTTCAAATATTTAGGTGTACAATTCTCAAGCGACGGAAAACAAGATGGCGAAATAGATCGAAGAATTGGTGCAGCAAGCGGTTTTCTACGCTCTCTCTATCGCTCAGTCGTGACAAAAACAGAACTGAACAAAAAGACAAAAATGGCTATATTCAAGTCGGTGTATCGACCTACCCTCATATATGGACACGAACAATGGGTATTAACAGAAAAATCGCGCTCTCGAATTCAATCAGCTGAAATGAGATTTCTGCGTAGAGTTGCTGGTTTAACACTACGAGACAAAATTCGTAGTTCAGATATACGAGAATCTCTTCAAATAGAACCTCTGCTTTTGCATATTGAACGATCTCAACTGAGATGGCTTGGACATATTATCAGAATGCCACACAATCGACTGCCGTACCAAATATTTAATGTCACACTATCAGGAAAGCGACCAATCGGACGACCAAGAACAAGTTGGCGAAAATATATAGAAAAACTCTGTCTGGAGCGTTTAAACCTCCAATGGCTCAAAGTACAACAAGTAGCAAAGGATCGAAACTAATGGAAACAACTACTGAACGGGCTCAAACCCCGACCCGCAAGGATAAGGGGAAGAAAATGAATGAAAAGACATTTACAGCAGCATAGTATGAGAGCACGAAAGAACTTTTAAGCATCATGATAAGAAACCGAAACGCGACATAATGTATGGATTTATGTTACAATGATTTTTTTTCTTTATTTTTCTTCTAGCACCATAGACGACGACCAGTAAAAAAAGAGAACGAAGCATTTGAAACGAAAAGAAAAATGAGTTTCAATGACAAAAATAACAAAAAATGAATAGGAACATCTGGATGAAAATTTCAACATACTAAATAAATTCAAGTCAATTTATTTCACTTTTATTTCATTGATAAAACATGACGCATGCTGTCGACAAAATGGAAGAACTGATCAAAACTATAACTGCTGCTGTTGCCACATCATCGAAACCTATGAGCATAAGGCCACAGCGACTTTCTAATGCTCGTATGGTTCAGAACTTTTTACTCATCTGGCTCGACAGCAGTATCGATCTAGAAAACAACGAAGATTGCAAGAATACAATGTCAAAATGAAAAAAAGTAGTCAGCAAAGTCAATATATTCATAAATGCCGATGAATGCATTGATTTTATTAGTGACTTCGAACAAGACAAGTTGTTTATTATCGCCTCTGGTGCACTAGGACAAACAGTAGTTCCTATTATACATGATGTCTCAGGTCAGTACAATTTACATTTTTTGTCAGGACCAAGCTCGGCATGAACAAGGGGCCAAACAGTGGCCAAAACTAAAAGGGGTTTTTACTGATATTACTCCAATATGTAAAGCCCTTCAACAAGCAGCACAAGAATGTGATCAAAACATGATATCTGCCAGTTTTGTCACTGTTAATAGTGGATCTACCAAGCAAAATCTTAACCAATTAGATTCCTCATTCATGTACACGCAAATAATGAAGGAAATTTTACTTAAAATTGATTTCAATCAACAACACATCAAGGAATTTACTATGCACTGTCGTGACATTTTTGCTAATAATCCGTTCGAACTTCAATATGTCAAGAAACTCGAACACGAATACTTTAAGCATATCCCGGTTTGGTGGTATACGAACCAGTGTTTTTTGTACTCTATGCTCAATCGATCATTACGAATGATGGAAATCGATCTCATCATAAGCATGGGATTTTTTATTCGTGACCTCTACAATCACATCGTTCAGCTTCATAAGGAACAATGCGTCGAAAACACACATGAGAAATTCTTTACTGTTTACCGTGGTCAAGGCTTATCCCAAGACGACTTGGATCGAATGATGAAAACACCAGGTGGACTTTTATCATTTAATAATTTTCTATCAACTAGTATCGATCGTCAAATATCTCTTAATTTTGCTCGTCAAACCACGGAAACATCTAATCTTGTTGGTATTTTATTTGTCATGAGAATTGATTCTTCTATTCTGTCAACACCATATGCTAACGTTCGTGATGTTAGCTATCTTAAAGGAGAAGAAGAAATCCTCTTCTCAATGAATTCTATTTTTCGCATAGGATCAATAAAATATACCGATGAAAACAATTGTGTTTGGCAAGTCGAGTTAACACTCTATAGTGACAACGATCCAGATTTAAATATACTTACTGAACAAATACGCAAAGCGACCTATCCTGAGAAGAAGGAGTGGGATCGTTTGGACCATTTACTAATTAAATTGGGACAATTCAATAAAGCTCAAGAAGTTTATGAAATACTGTTTGAACAAGCAAAGACGGATTCAGAGAAGGCATTAATGAGTCATATGCTTGACTGGGTCAAACGTAATCAAGGCGAATATAAAGATGCTATTACATATTATAAAAAGTCCATTAAAATTAAAGAAAAGATTCTCTCACCAACGGATCTCAGTTTGGCTGCTTCTTACAACAATATTGGTTCGGTGTATAACAAAATGGATGGCTATTCGAATTCACTTTCATCGCATCAAAAATCACTAGAAATCAAACAAAAAATCCTCCCTTCAAATCATCTTGACTTGGGTACGTCATACAACAAGATTGGTTCCGTGTATGCCAATATGGGTGACTCGCCAAATGCGCTTTCATTCCTAGAAAAGGCACTTGCTATTTGGCAAAAATCACTCCCGTCAACACATCCTCTTTTAAAAACACGGATGAATAATATTTACTATGTGAAAAAGAATATGTAAATGTGTTTTTTTTTCTTTTTCTGATTGCTTAATAAATTGGTTTTCATTGCTATTAATTGTGCTTTCCCACATCTCTTGGCTCCTTATTGCGTACACACGCACGACCAGGAAGAACCCTGTAAACCTGAAATGGGTACACGCAGAGCGAACGATGCTCGACTGGCGAGGTAATGAGCATAGATGAGCAATTGAAAAAATGTTTCTATGCAGTAATTCTAGCCTATCGATTCATGCAAAAAACTAATGGAAATCAATGAAATATATCGAAGCAATAGTGAAAAATCATGAGATCAACTTTGTTGCTACAAACTATTCTAACTATATGTAATAAATATAATACTTTTTTTTTTGTTATTTTTCAATACCAAAAAAAGTTCTCTGATATCTTCCATAATGATAAATTATACCTACTTGTATAACGATTGACGTTAAACAACATTCATGTATGATTCAAATAATCATTTTCCATTTATTTCGGTAGACATTAACCCAGCTCTACTTGTATGAGAATCAAATCGGAGACAAAGGAGCAGAATATCTTGCAGGGGGATTGAAAGTCAATCAAGTAAGACTGATATTCTTTCTATTGTCTTTGAGTAAAAATATTGAGTTAGTTACAAAAGTTCATTAGAAATTCTTGATGTGTTGTTGATTGAAATCA